ATGTTGAACTTTGGAAAGCAGTTTGCCCGTTTCGTTACAAGCGTCTGCAGACTTATCCACTTCCACCAGCGGGAAATGGAGTTCCCGTTAGCTCTGCATTGTTGCCGTGCTGGATGTTGTCAGTGTTTCTACATTGTAGCGGTTCTAGTGGAGTGATACTTCACTGCAGGCTTGGTTTTTTGGGTTTCCTACTGAGTAATGAGATTGAACATCCTCAGGTACTTAACTCGCCATTAGAGGTCTTTGGTGAAGTGTCTGTTCAAATCTTTTGCCCTCCTTTCCCCAATTGATTTATTTGTCTTCCCTTACTATTGAGTCATAAGGGTTCTTTATATATTTTTCATAGAAATCATATATTTTTGCCTAGTCTGTGACTTATTTTCATTTTCTTAGTGTTTCCTGAGGAGAAGAAGGTTTAATTTTGATGAAGTTTGTTATTTATCAATTTGTAATTTTTTCTTTTATGGATTATGCTCATTATGCCTTATATAAAAAATACCTTCACATGTTCCTGAGTTACTTTTAGGTCAGTTATCCATTTTATAGTTAAATTATATGCATGATATGAGAATATGAGATAAGGTTCAAGGTTCATTGTTTTTGACAGCACTTTATAACATCTGTATAAAATGTTTATTATGCTACTAATCTATAATTGTATCTTTTCTTTAAATTTTAATGATTTTTTTCTCTAACTGAAAGTTATTAAAAGAAAAAGAAAGCAACAGCAGTTCGAGTCCTGGCCCAAGCTGAGCAGCTGCTGAGCTGCCAACAGGTGGCAGGATGGCTCAGCTAAAAAAATAAATAAATAAAAAGAAAAAAGAAAAAGAAAAAATATTGTTTATTTTGTGCATCAATTTAAAAGAAATTCAAAATAACTATACATATAAACATTCAAAGCTAGCAGATCAATAATGAGATTTAAGATTGTCATTGCTTTTTACCATCATCTTTTGAGACCACAGTGCCATAAAGATACTTTGAGTTATTTGCTATGATTATGCATTATGTAGATATTTTACATGAGAAGTAAAAGGGCAAATGTTTTCCATTAAAAGTTAAGTTTTACCTAAAATTCTCTTAATTTTCCAAAAAAATTTCTTAATGAAGTATAATGCATATACAACAAAATGCAATTATCATTGGTATACATTTCCAAGAGCACAGCCAAGATTAATGATCATAAACTGAAATCAGATCAGGAAATGAGCAATAATAGCACCCCAGAAATTCCCTTTAGGTCACTACCCTCCAATCCTTTAGACAAGCACTGGTAACCAATACTAACACTATAGGCTAGTCTTGCCTGGTTTTATACTTTGTATAGTTGGATTAAATCACAAGTACTGTTTCCCATACGTGTCCTTTCACACACCATATTTGTGAGAGTCAGCGAAATTGTTGCTTGTAATTGGTGTTCATTTAATCTCATTGTTACGTAGTATTCTGTTGTGAGAGTGCATAATTGATCCATTTTATTGTTGGGCATTTGGGGGCTATTCAGTTTGGGACTTTTATGAATTGTGTGTTATAAACATTTCAGTGTTTATCTTTTGGTAGGCACAGGAGATTAATAACATTTGATATCTCTTAGAGCACTTAGCCTATTGCCATAGACCAGGGGCTGGCAAACTGCAGCTTGCGAGCCACATGCGGCTCTTTGGGTACGTACATGTGGCTCTGAAGTAAAATTGAAAATGAAAATAAAACTATCATAGTTTCATTTATAATATTACTTTAAATTTTCCTTATTTGTAAAAATATATTTATGGCTCTCGAATAATTTTTAAATTGTTGTGAGGGGCAGGATTGGCTTTTCTGTCTCAAAAGTTTGCCGACCCCTGCCATAGACGATACAGAATAAATACTTGATATTTAATGAACATGCTTTGGAATAGCCTCAAGCTTCTTGTTACTGTTTTATAACGCACCTTAATGGGAAATTTTGAAGATTCTTTTTTGTTTTGTATTATAGATTTATTTTGAGAGCTAATTCCCTATTTCAGTCTAGTGAAATGAAAGTTTTGGAAGTTTCTCAGACTCACTCTCACAATATGAGCTCATTGAGAGTGTTCCTTGGATGTGTTCTTGGATTAATATGAAAATATAACTTTTCTTTTTCCTCCTTTCTTTTAATGATTTAAAAAAAGTAGAAAAAAATGTTATTTAGGAGTTTTAAATATTGAGTCAAATGAATTGTTTAGTTGATAAACCTTTTAAAAGCTATTTACCTTACCTTCCTCTCCCCAAATGTTAATTAGCTTTGTAATTTTTAGTTTATAATTTGACTTCTTTTTTTTTAATATAAATTTTTTGTTTTTAATTGGAGAACAGTGTGTTTTTCCAGGACCAATCAACTCCAAGTCAAGTAATTGTTTCAATGTATTGGGTTGTCGGAAAAGTCATGGCACATTTTTGCAACGAAAGACAGAAAAAATACATCATGACTTTTCCAACGACTCAGTAGTTGCGGAGGGCATTTTTCCAGGACCCATCAGCTCCAAGTCACTTAGTTGTCTTCAATCTAGTTGTGGAGGGCACAGCTCAGTGGCCCATGTGGGAGTTGAACCTGCAACCTTGGTGTTATGAGCCTGCGCTCTAACCACCTGAGCTAACAACCGTCCGCCCTTATAATTTGACTTCTAATGAAAGTGCTGATATTAGAGAAGTTCCCTGTGGAAATTTATTCTTTTTTTTATTTAAAAAATTTTTTTATTGCCCCCTCCCCTGGAAATTTATTCTTTTATATTTTCTACAAATTTACAAATGCTTTTTATTTGGTTCAAAATGATATATTCCAGCCTATATATAAAGTATATATTTCCTTTCAATGCCAAGTGTCTTTCAGTAGCTGTGTAATTATAACAGATGGGTTTGAAGCGTTCTCTTAAATGAAGTTAGGATTTTATTTCCCTTCCTTTATTCCCTGATAATGTTATATATTATTGTAAATTAGTATGTTGAATACCTTCCAGGACTTCTCATAGTAGTTTAGCTAATGTCATATAACACTTTCCATTGCAAATGTAATTAAGAGAACATGTTGATGTTTCTAAAATGATATAGACACTGGGAAAAGGATCAAATTAAATAATTTTGTTTCCTTATTATGCACTTAAATAAAAGTCATTACATTTTATTTGCCAGAATCATTTTTAGTGCAACAGGCTTCTTCTGCACAACTTGACATATGCTATAAAAGTAACAAAGATACTAGATTTTAACAGTTTAGCAGAAGTTATATGTTAATGAGTTAATATAAACGATATTCAGCTATTGGTTGGACTTATATAAATGTATTTCCTCCCTAAGCATTTTCTTTGCCTTTTCATTATGACACAAGGATACTTAGACTGCTTCAATGTGATACATGTTCTATTAATATACTGAACCTATTCAGAGACCTTGGGAGGCTTTAAACTAAAAATATATCCAGTATGGAAAAAGTGGTTATTACAGTTTGTCAATGGAGAGAAATTAGGCTTTATTTCTTTCCTTCTGTGTTTTTAATGCAGTAACACCCTTGAGTACAAAAAGAGAACAGAAATGTATACTAGTCTATGGATTTGTGGACATTATATAAAGTTAAAATACTACAAATAACATAACGAGTGTTTAGAGTTCTTAGTCTGTTGGCTGTACTCATAGTGTACAGAAGACACCAAGAGACACTAAGCTTTCTTCTGTTGGTTCAGTTCAGCGGACTGAAGGTTATGAGGAAGAGCTGGATGGCAAATGAGGTCTTATGTAGATTTACACACAAAACGCTGAAATTATTATAATCTTTAACAAGCAGAATATAGAGGCAAGTATATTAGCATGTGAAGATACTCACAGTGACGTTTAGCACCTCTTTCTCTTACTTGAGGCTCCGTTTCACCACTGATTGTCCCGTTTGGCTTTAGCTGGTTTAGCTCTGATGCTCACGAGCCACGCTTGCATAGGAGATGACCAGGGTGCCATCCGTTTAGTGTATGTAAACACAGACACCTGTTTATGAGCCACCCTATGCCAGCAGCATTCATGGCGCTACAGAGCAAAGATGGTACAGCCGGTTTTCTCTATTCAAGGATGTTGGACTAGGATGAAAAACAGACATAATTTCCATGCAGTGGCATAAACGCTCAACCAGAGGTGGATATAGACGATAGTCAGCTAGGCATCTTCTACATAAAGAGAGATTTTATACTGGATGACACAGGCCCCCCAGCAAAGGCTCCACGAAGAAAACGACACCCAAAATGGGCTTGTGTGGATTAAGCAAGAGTATTCTATTAATACTAACCCTTCGTAGGGAGAGCTGAGTTCAGTCAGCGCAGCAGCTTTGGATAAGCCGTCCTGGCTTCTTACACGTTCAGCGCCCCTGACTCTCCTGTTGATTGTGGGGGGCTTTTTTCGTTACTTTTGCCACTCTCAAGGGAAATGGGGGCTGGGAGGAGGTCTTACAGGACCTGATTTTCCTTCACTTTCCCAGCCTTTATTAAGAAACTAGAAAGTAATTGCTGCAGTGAAATGTGTGGATTTGTTGCTTTTTAACAATACAGGTGTCACTTATTAACTTATTCTGTGATTGCTTGTTTACCTTGTAATTATTTTTAGCCAGCGTGAAAAATAGAGGTTTTATGAATAGTGTGTATTCATTTTATTTGTTTATTGATGCAATGTAAACACTGTTAAAATAAACTCCAACTAGAAACCTGACTTTTTAATCATATTACTGATTTTAAAAAAAATTTCGTTGTACATTTTTGACAGCCAGTAGAAAAAAGTGAAATGCTAACTTTGTAAACTTGACTAGAAGGACGAATCTGTATTATATTAAGCACTGAACAGAGTACCTTAGGTTTTATTATTTTTAGCTGGTCCTTTATTAGGTATTTTAAGGGTTCCAATAGTTTTACTAGTAATATACAAGGACTTTGTATACCTTCCTAGCCCCACATTTGAATGTCCCTGTTCCAGGTTTTATAAAGGAATCTCTTTTCCCTTTGCCCTTTCAGCGATGTGCATTTTGTAAGCACCTTGGAGCCACTATCAAATGCTGTGAAGAGAAATGTACCCAGATGTACCATTACCCGTGTGCTGCTGGAGCCGGCACCTTTCAGGATTTCAGTCACTTCTTCCTCCTGTGTCCAGAACACATTGATCAAGCTCCTGAAAGATGTAAGTTTACTGTAGACATCTCTTTAAGCATTTATCAGTGTATCACTTAGAATAACAAGTGTTGTAAGTTCCCTAAATGTTATTGTACTTGTATTAAAAGGTAATGTTACATAATCTTGATAATCTGAGGACTCTGCCAGAGGTCCTTGGGGGGAATCTGTTATCAACCATGTCATTGACGGTAAAGCCAAAAAGTTGTTTCTTCAAAATTTCAAATATAGTTCGCATGTTTTTTATTCTTATTTAAAGAAATTTTAAACCAGTGTAGATAGATAGAAATAGAGTGTGCAATATTTTAATATGTACTATAAAGTAAGTCACTTAAAAACTTAAACAGTATTCAGTGTCGTTTACTCAAAAAAAACACCCATTTGGAAAATTAGACGGGGCTTCAGTCAGGCGATTCTTCAGGACGTACATGAACAGGATCACAACACACCTTCTCGGAAACCGGACCGCCCTGATAGTCATGGTAGGAACCTCTGTCAGGGCTTCTTCATTCATCTGTCTTGGTTAGCTGTGATCCTCAGTTGTGCTTTTTTCCTTTCTCTTCCAAACAGTGTTTATAATTAGGTGAACATGTTCACGTGTTTGAATTTTATGTTATACAGAAAATTATAACTATTTCCTGTCTTTATCATTGAACAAAGATCTTACCTTTTCCATACCATGTGGCTTCCCAGTGAGCACGTGTGCTTTGGGACCTTCCCCCTAGTAAGTGGGGCTTCCAGTCTTGGGAAACCTCTGTGACGCCTCACTCAGTCTTTGTACAGAATTGGTAGCTTTTACTGTTTCTTAGTGACAGGAGTAAAGGCTTGTCCCTATCTTTCCCAGCTCTGTGAAACATAAATAAGGTTAAACTGAAGGAGTCTCAAGGACAGGTCAGCTTCATAATCATTACTTTTTATCTTTTTACAGTAGCATCATTTCATCTTTTTATTATTTTGTGTCTACACATATAACATAATGCCCTTAATCACTACACAGATATAAACCATAGGTAAAGCAAACTGAAATGTCAAATTGTATTTAGGCTAATAAGGGATTTAAAGTTTTAAAAATTTTTTGGTTGACACACTATTAAATCCGGCATAGCCACGTTATGGGTGTTGCTCGTTTTCAGACCTCCTGTAGCGAACCACTCCTCTAAGTGCATCAAACCACCATGTCAGTCATCAGAGGCGATTGTATGCTGGGTGGCATGGTACCCTTTGCTCATCGAGTAAAACAATTGTGTGTGTGTTTACGAACCTGAATTTTATTCAGCCTTTTTTGTACTCAGTCGTGCTCTAGACCTCCTTACACAAGGCCAACTTTTCTATGGCTGTTTCTAATGTTAGATGCTTTATCCCTTCGTGGCAGCACTGCTGTCTCCTGCAGGCTGTGTTCTAAGGGCAGACCTCATTTGTATGTTAGAGGTCATAAATCGTTTTGTAGAGTAATGAACTGTAAGAGCTGAGGTGAGAGGATGGGCTGTCATTTATCATGCAAATAGTGACACGTCCTTGCTGGCAGTTACTGCTCCTGTGCCTTGTAACAAAACAGACTTGTGGAGACTCATAAAAATACATGAACAGCAAGATAAAATCAAACTAAAAATAAGCAAGGAAACTCAGCCATGGGAGACTCAGGATAGGATAAACACGAAGGCCGTGATCAGGCGGATACGCAGACGCCCGCCCACTGCCGAAACCGAAGCCTCCAGCTTGGCTGCAGAGCTTTCCAGCACTCAACACGAAGAAGGAAGTAGGAAGTTACCTGGTTCTTAGTAATGTTACAAGAATTCACTTGATCCTGAGACTGCACATACGCTACACACCGCAGTGAGAAATTCTTAGAATAGCTGACTTGAAGTATAAGAAACAGATCCCACAGGGCAATTTCTTACAACAGCCCTCAAAATAAGCCAATGGTTTCAGACTAAAAAAGCCCAGCTGAGTGAAGCCTGTTTCCTGAGGGCCTTGAACCATGCAGTCTAAATACACAATGTTCTGACCATTTGTTTTAATCCAATGATATAGAGAATATTGCAGATAGAATGTATAGGATAATATACAAGACCTCACAATCGTCTTCATAAACTCTTTTAGCCTTTCTAGCTGTCCTAGTTGTGTTTGGTAGCACAAAGTATGTAATTTTTTATGTCTTAAAAATGGGGTATCATAAATGGGAGTGTTATTATGAGGCTTAAATGACATTAAGTGATGAATATCGTGTAGCGTTGTACCTTGTATATATGAATTGCTTTACAAAAAGGTAGCTGTTTTAGCTTTTGTTGAAGGCTTTAGCTGTATGTATACATGGAGTGTAATACCAAGTGGAGAGCAGCATGCTATGATAGTAAGCTGAGTTAAGAGTAACATGACATCTTTTTATAAAAGTTGACAAATTTAACACAGACCTCATTAGAAAGAAATCCCAACAAAGAGGGCATCTGTGACAGGCCAAGCTTGTCAGTAGAAAACATCTTCCGGGTGTCTGTCGTAGAGAAGTGCTGGTCATGGCTCCATCGTGATTTTCATGATGAGAGGGCCGGAAAGTGGATGCTGAATATGCATCAGGAGACATAGGCAGATCCCGCTGCCGAGCGGTGGCCTCGCAGGGAAAGCTGAACGGCACGGAGCCCGCCATGCCGCTCAGAGGAAAGGACGTTGCAGCTAGATGCAACGGCTGCTGCACAGGCCTTAAGGGAGGAGCGTGGCATGACTGTGGAGCAGACGGGGTCGTTGTGCCTGGAACGTAGTGTCTGCTGGGTGGGTAGTACAGACCACACCAAGAGAGCAGACGCCATCACACAGGGAAAGGGCTTGGGCTCTGTTCTGTCGGCGAGGAGGAGTCTTGCAGGGTTCAGACATGGGAATGCTACTCTCTTAATCCCCTCTCCTCCCTCAGCACTGTTACTCTCACCACTCAGCTTTAACCTGCTGTACTTCAGTTAAGCTTTTAACTCTGAACTCAGGTTCTTGGTTGTCTTTGTGTCTCGTGACGCCAAGTCCTGCTGCTTTTCTGTTACCTGAATTCAGTCAGTACCCTGACCTTTCTTCCTTACCTACCTGCCTGCTATGTGGGCCAGACTCTGGACAACATCCGTGATTTACTCTTCTTTCTAGAGCATCCATGTGATAGGCACGTCACCCAGCAGTGTCCTCCCGGTCATGACAGCATAGGTGACGCTGCTGCGGCGTTGATGGAAGTGACCGCGCTCTGCTGATGTAGTCCGTCTTAAATTGACATCCGCTGTCTGACATCAGCTTCACTTTCGTTGCTCTTTATTTATACCAGTGCTTTTATTCTTACGGCTTCTAGACTTGCTTAAGCAGCAGTCTCACCTTCCAGCGTGCCCAAGTTGAAGGGTCTCTGATAAGCTTCCTTGTCATTTAGCTCAGTGTTCTCGTCTTTTCCTCCATCTCCTCTCTTGTCACAGCTGTCACTTAGGAAGTGACCTTGTGCCCAGTTTAGCCTTCTGTTCCTCCTGCTCTTTCCTTGCTCCCCTACATCACTGAGCTTCTTCGTTCTCTGCCTGTGCTGGCACCTGCTACTTCTGTACATACTCAGATACTCTCCACCTTCTTGGCCCTTCCACTGGGAGGCCATGTTGATGATCAGTAAAGAGCATGATTTTTGGAGCCAAATTGACCTGGAACTCCTGTCCTCTCAAATTAGCTTTAGCCTTTCACTCAATCTCTTTTGCTTTTCCACCTGCTTAAAGAAAAATCTCACTTGGTTATTGCTTCAAACTTAATGTCTCTGTGGTGTGCGGACACGTATGTATGTATATGTACATATACTTATAATCTGACATGACATGTACACTATCCATTAGTATCATCTTCTTATGCATGACCTCCGAAAGGCTGTTTTAGTATTTCTGCATGTTATCTTCTCCTTGATTGGGGAAGTGTTTGGAACCAACTTCATTTCTTTATGTAGTACTTTTTTCTGTTATTATTTTTACATAATGCATAGTAAATGTTTTTGGACCGAATGTACCATGTAGATGTTTTTCTTTGCCTAATTTATTACCAATGGTCCATACTAATTAAACAACATGACAGTATTGTCATTAAGGAATTGCTGGAAACTCATGGAGTGAAAAAGTAATCTCTGCTATCGTGATACACACAGTTACCTTGTTGCAGAATGGGCTTTGCTGTAGCAGACAGTGCTGTGCAATAGAAATATGTGGCTAATAAAAGTAATTTTAATATTTCTAGTCACCGTAAAACTTTTTTGAAATTAATTTTAACCCAGTATATACAAAATATTAATATTTCAACATGTAATCAAAAAATTTTCTGGTATTTGACTTTTCTAGTAAATTTTTGGAATCTGGGTGTATTTTCTATGTACAGCATATCTCAATTTGGACTAATCACATTTCATTTGCTCAGTAGCCACATTGCTAGTAGCTACCTACCATGGCAATTTGAAGTGTCAGAGTAGCAAACTCTACAAAGTTTCACAGAATCATTTTAGACAGTGTTCCTGGCAAACTACAGTAGACAGAGGAACTTTCAGGTAACCAGAGTCCAGTATTTGTGCTATACGTTCTGAAGGTAGGCAGATATCAAAGATTAGTTTGTAAATGTACGTAGCTTGAAAGAGTAAGTATTGGTGCTCCCTTTTAGTATTAAGAAAAATAATTTACCCTATTATGTCATTTCTAACAAAAGTGTATTTATGACATTTCCATTTTTAAATTAATGATTTATTTTAAAATGCTTATCAATTAAAGAGCCATTTAAAAGTGATTTTAGACGCAAGTCATTTATTTAAAATATATATTTAATAAGACTTGGTTTGTATTCTCACTTGCCTGGCACAAACTTGGAAAAGACAAGGTTCCTACCCTTCAACGGCACTGTGTTCTGATTAATTAGGTGACAGTTTATTCTCAGCATACGGGAAAGGAACAGTCAACAGCTAAACAGGTATTCAGGTGTGGTAACATGGAATATCCAGGGACTCTGGGTTTAGCAGAGTTTGGAAGGCCTCTTTGGACCGGGCTAGAGGCACAACAAAGGAGAGACTGTCATGCAGAGGGAACAGAGCATAGCCACGCACACAGGCATTGAGCCGTGTGTCGTGTTGTGTGTGCAGCAAGCGGCCTGGTAGGACCAGGAAATCAGGAGTGGCTCTGAGCTTCAGTTGGAAAAGGAAGCAAGGGTTTGTGTCTTTGCTTCATCCTAGAAAGTTCTGATTTTTGTTGTTGTTATTTTAGGTGAAAAAGGAAGTAATAATGAAGTTTTCATGTAAGCAGGGCATAACAGATTCAGTTTTTGAAAAAATTGTTTTGGATGTGTAGAAGATGACTTAGGGAGGAGGTCAGAGCCATCAGCAGCGATGCCGTTCTGAAGTCACTGCCATTACCAAGGCCAAGTGTGATGGACTGAACGGTACAGATCGAAGGAAGGGGGACATGTAGGAAGTTTCCTCAACAAGAGTTGGTGTCCAGTTGGAAATGTTGGGCCAGGGAAGAGTGACAGTCAACAGTGAATGTAAAGTTTCTGCTTTTATCCGGCTGTTTGAGAAAAAAGGGAGAGGTTTAGGCTTAAAAAATGTTTCGTTTTAGAGGTGTTGAGTAATTTTAGAATATCTGGCTATTGAGGTCCAGTAAGATCTGAAAATAACTCTTTGGGGTTTAGAAAGAAGTTTGGGGCTGGTGATACCAATTTGGGAATCATGATGGGTGGTATTTTATGACATAGGAGTGGATATGATCACAAAGAGAAGCCATGGGAAATTGGAAAAGAAGGTACAGGATGAAGTCCTAAGAGACCCCAGCAGTTAGAGGGAGTGCAGAAGTACAAAAGCCAACACAGGAGGAGGAGATGAAGGCAAGAAACTTAAGGAGAAATCCTACAAAGAGGCCATCATAGAAGCCAGGGGAAGGGAATTTTAATGGGGCAATGCTGCCAAGTGCAGATAAGGTAAGATCTAAAAAGGAAGCACTGGAGTTCATAGGTCATTGGTAGCCTCATTAAAGTAGCTTCAGATGAGTAGTGGGTGTGGAGCCACCAGGGGTCCAGCCTGCAGGCACCATACAGCCCAGGGCCTGGGTGTGTATACTGCCCTCAAGCTATGAGTGGTCTTCACCATTTTAAAAAGACCCCAAAATGGAAGCAAAAAGTCTGTACATCAGCCAGTTCGATGGCCCACAAAGCCCGTTGACGACTGCTGACAGAAGGAATCCATTATTACTGTGTTTCAAGATGCTCGGCTGGGAAAGGAAGAAGGTAGAAAAAGGGTTTATATCCAGAGAGGACTGACCAAGCCTTCAAAAAATGAAAGAGAAAAAAAATTCATAGGAACAATTTGAAATGGTCCTAGGATGGTCAACTTATATCAAACCATTTAGTTGAGACCATGTTTCAGATGTAGGCACATATATATGTACTATCAAATTGGTATGATTTTAGAATATTTTCCTTATTTTGTAATGTGCATGTGTTTAACTGTGTACTTGGCAAGGCAAGTTGATTCGTACAATTTTTTGTTTTAGTGTACAAGAACTGTTAAAAAGTGCCATTTCTTTTGATCCATTTAGGGCATAGCCGATGTCCATAATTATGTACACTGTAGTAGAGCTGAATACAGACTTAGTGTATGAAGCACAGTGTTTGTGTACGAATATGGAGCTTCTGTCTTTCCTATTCTCCCACGTACCATCTTTTCCTGCATTAAAAACCGTATTTGATTTGAATAAAAATTAGTCTATTTATGCTTAGGAAGCATCTTTATCTAATTGATATTAACATTTCTTAATTTTGTCTGTTATCTGATTTTCTTAATTTCAAAACACATTTAACATCCAAATAAAATGTTTCTTTTTACACTGCAAAGCGTGTCTCGGTTGATATTTTCCTGTCTGGTTCTTTTCAGCAAGCATATCTCGAGCATTAACTAGGCACCCAGCATTATCATTGGTATTAGGGATATAAAATTAAATAAGAACTGCTATGGTCTCATAGGTGTAGGCACAAATAATCGTAAAACTACAGGCTTAAAATTAATGTGATTAAATTTAGATTAAATATCTTACAGTGTTTTTATTGAGACCTTACTCTGATTGGATAGCACTTCAATGTGGATAACGTCAAGTGTCTGAAAGATTTACCATGCAAATTCCCTTCAAGTGATTTTTAAACTGTAAAGTCAGAAAAATATTAAATTCTTATACAACAATTTCATTGTTTTACTGTTAATTGTAGCAAAGGAAGATGCAAACTGTGCAGTGTGCGACAGCCCGGGAGACCTCTTAGATCAGTTCTTTTGTACTACTTGTGGTCAGCACTATCATGGAATGTGCCTGGATATAGCGGTCACTCCATTAAAACGTGCAGGGTGGCAATGTCCCGAGTGCAAAGTGTGCCAGAACTGCAAGTAAGTTGCCATTTCAACTCAAAGGTGTGTATCGAGTTTGAGAGAGACCCTACTGTTAGGGCGAAAGGTTTGTGTAACATGATGAAGCTTGTTCCTCCTGCAGCTCTTCATCCCCATCAACGTCATCACGTCTTAACTTAGAAACTAAACGCTAGGTGTGGATTAACATTGAGATGACTTGGAAACAAATCTAAACAAAACTAATTTTAATCATTTAAATTCCTCTGGTTGCCTTTAAAGCTAATTTAAATTTGCCAACGATTTTTAAATGAATGATATTAATAATTTGAAATAAACATTAGGAAAATAAAGCAGCTTTTGTTGAGGAAGACTGGGGAGGAGATTGACTAGGAAAATAAGCCTCTAACTACAGAAAGTAGTCATTAGAGCGAGCCATTTTCCATTTCAGGAAGAACAGTTTATACTAAGATTACCATTTAAAAAAAAATCTGTGTCTGAAAGACAGTTACCATCAGGAATCCTAGTCACCATAATACTGAAATAAAGTGTCGTATGGCATTTAAACCTTCGCAATGGGGTTATCTTTTCCTGTGGGTTGTATTCCATCCTTAGGTCATTTCTCCCATCTTTTCTGTGATTTTTTTTCCCTGCTACTAATTAGCATGATAATTTGGGGATGTTACCCACATCCAGCGCAGTCTTCAAATTATTTTCAAGCCGAGGACTTTCGTAACCAGAAGAAATTATGCCCACCACGGCCAGAATCAATCTGTTTTGTTAGTAATTTAATTTGATACCAATAAGCATCAATATCTTAGAGTTATATGGAGTAAGGACCATGCACTTTTATATTTTGGTCAAAATTAAAGAAAATATCAGTAAACATTTATTTGGTACCTTGTATCTGTGCCTAGTTTCTTGGGAGAGAATAAGAGAACTTGAAGAAAGAGTGCTTTTCCTCCAAGATCTTTCCATGTAAAGAGATAAAATATGCAATTTTATATGTAGAATTTGTTAGTCGAATGAGAGATAACTAGAGGCCAACTAACCCATCTTCCCTTTTTTACTTCCATTTACCCCTAGGTGTTCCTTCAGCGGTTCCTCTCAGCTCTTCTTCATTCCCCGTTGGTGGTTCTCTTCCCCTCCTCTTGAATTAAATTCTTAGTGTCTGAGAGTGATTAATAGCCAAGAATCAAGGCAGAGAGTTTTTGAGTACAGTTCTTAATAATAATGAGAAGATTATTATTCTTATACCTATTTATTTAGCACTTACTGCTTAATGAATAGCCTAAGCTCTTCAACCAGAATTAAACTTAATTCTCACAGTAATCTTTGGTTATTATTCACATGTTATATCTGAAACTAAGAGAACTCAAGTCTAAGTTATTCTGGAGTCACACAGCTAGAGACACAGCAGTCTGAATACAAATAGAGGTCTGATGCCAAATTTGATCCTCTTTTTATTTTATGACAGTGTCTTTCCAGTTCACTGTGCCGTGGTTTGTTCCTTTCCACGCAGCATCACCTGTCAGTTATAGTTCCTTCCCCAAGAAAGGATGGGTATGAGATACTCAGAAAGTAGCATCAGGGTCAGCCATCTTGCCATAACCCTCCTTCTTTGCAGGAATCCCAAAATGACTAATGCAGGTTCACCCTAGGCGAGCGTTCAGTAAGGAGAATCCTTTAGGGACCTTGGGAAGATGTCTGTCACGTTCTCCAGGGGGTTACCTTTGTCATTATCTGTGTGCAGACAAAACAGACGCTGAATTATTTATGAACTGGGCAGTTCCCAGGATTGATTCTTTACTTTAGATGATTACTTATGTTACAAACATAAGTTTAAAGATCAGGCATCATTAATGCTATCTTATTTTTTAGACAATCGGGAGAAGATAGCAAGATGCTAGTGTGTGATACGTGTGACAAAGGGTATCATACTTTTTGTCTTCAACCAGTTATGAAATCAGTACCAACCAATGGCTGGAAATGCAAAGTAAGTTGTTTATTTTTTTAAGAAAAAAGCATCTATGTTTTTTTTATCTATAGAGCAGACAAATCGGATACCTATTTAAATCTATACATTGCTATCAACTTAAAAGCTTTATTGACGTATAATTAATATACAATAAACTGTACATATTTAAAGTCTATAATTTGACACATGTATACACTCACGAAGCCCTCATCACCTTCAAGATAATGCACATGTTCATCACCCCTAAAAGTTCCATGGTACCCGTGAGTCCCTCCAACTGTCCACTCACCATCACCCTTCCGTCTGCCTGGCAATCTGCTTTCTCACACCTTAGATCAGTTTGCATTTTCCAGAATTTTATATAAATAACATATTTACTCTTTTTTTTTTGGTCTGACTTTTAAACTCAACATAATTTGAGATTCACCCATGTTGTTGCCAAATAGTGGAGACACCACAGTTTGTTTATTGACTCAGTTTTGTTGGTTATCATTTATTTGGGTTGTGCACAATTTTAGGCTGTTATAAAAATGCTGCTATGAATCTGTTCACTAACATGCATGGTACTTCATGGCTTAGAAATGGTTTTTAAATGATTAATCTTTAATCTTCCCAGAATCTCTGAACTAGGTAATAACCCTATGTGAGGATACTGAAACAGAGATAGATTTTTTAAATCCATTAATTTAAAATCCAGAGATAAAGTACATTACATTTTGATAGATTGGCCGTTAGGTGATTTTACAGTGAGTTTTATATGTACATATATTTATGTATACACTTGTATTAAATATTGGGAATTGCATATGTGTATATGTGTATGTGTATATATATGTGTATATATATGTATATATAATACCTCCCCTGGTAGTTTTAGTAAGTTATGATTGACTTAGATATTTATGTTTTAGATGCTGTTTAAAGTTTCTCTTGGGTTTTGAGAGTTAGACAAGATTTGTAGACATTTTTCCATTTCCTTTTCATTTCTTAGGGAATCAATATGCTTGATATTACCTAGTACCTATCACTGACTGTACATAGCACACCAAGTCAGATCATGTCCAGCCACCACCATTAGTCTTTCTGCTTGGTGGGACACCTTTAAGATGTACTTGACATTATTTTTAGTTTTTCTGGATATTCTTTGAGTCAGTGATTCGCCCATCTTCCACCTGTTTTACTGTTTGCATCTTTATGACTCTGAGGTGTTCACGCTGGTCTCTGTACATCTCCTGAGGTTCTGTCTTCTGTATCTCTAAGCCCTGTAGGTTGGCTGACAACTGTACCTATGGGCAGAGTTAGTAATAGTACCAGGTAAACAGCCAATTTTAGAATTATTTGCCCATGGAAGCACAAAATATTTAAATTCTTAAAGCAAAAGTAGAAGGTAAGAATAATCTGTTTACCACTAATTCTTAACTGACTAAAACTTTTTTTTTTTTTAAGATTTTATTGGGGAATTGGGGGAGAGGAACAGCATTGGGGAATCAGGGAAGGGGAACAGACAAGTTGCTGTCCTTTTGTTCTTCAGTCTAGTTGTGGAGGACGTTGCTTCACTGGCCCATGTTGGTATTATCATTGTGCTCTTCCTGGGTGAGGCAAATCGGTCGCTGGCCACTGGACGGCCACTCATGGTGGCTCTTAGCAGCTCACGCCAGCTGCCAGCCACTCACGGCAGCCCAGCTCCAGATCGAGCTGTGGTTCAGCATCTTAGCTGTGGAGGGCAGTGTCACTGGCCCTCATATGTGGGATCTGAACCGGCGGCCCTGCTGCTCAGAGCTCGTGCTCCCAAGCCAACTCTTAACCAGTGAGCCACTTGGCCAACCCTTACTAAAACTTTTTCTGTTTAGAAGATATTTACAAAAAATATTTACTGTGACCTTTCTTTGGATATTCTCTAAGCTAAATCAGTCATAAAGTAGCTCATGTGCTTGCCTTCTTTGAAATCTGTATGGGTAAATGAACACATTCTAAATTAAGAGCTGCTGAAGACCAGCCTCGTAGTTGAGTAAATTGTCCAAGTTTACTGATTTGTAGACGAAGAATAGGAACTAAAACTCAGGTTTCCTGTCTTATAATGTAATGTTGGGGGTGCCAAAAAAAATGTATACATGTGGACACTTTGCTCAGCGTTGTTCAAGCAGTAGTTTGCCGTAATCAGAAGTGTCTGGATGCTGATAGGAACCACTTTGAGCACCTCTTGTAATTGCAGAAGTCAAAGGTGACTTGTATTCATCTTTTGTTATTGGTATATATTGAATATTACAATTTGAATACACTTTTCCTTTCTTAAAATGTGTATACATTTTTTGGCACTCTGTATTATCCTATCTCCCTGTGCAGTCATACTGTACTTAGTGACAGGGCTTTTCTCCCTACGTTAAGAAATACTTCTTGATCTAATTTTTATTTTGTACTGGGATGTAGATCATAATAAACTGAAGACCTGTCTAGGTCCATAGGCCATCTCTACCCTCACCCCCACAATGAAGGTTTTTTAAAATTATAATCTTAATTTTATAGAACAAGCATGAAGCTAGGAATAAACTTTTTATTTATAGTAATTGCACGAACTCAAAAAATAAAAGTAAATAGTGTTTATAAAGTAAATATTAATTTAAACAACTAGTTTTGTCTTGAAACTAAATAGCCAAGACTGGGTTTAATAGAAAGGTATTTTTTCAGGTCCAATTCAGTGCGTTAGCTACAGAGCATGCCTTCTGCATAAGTATTGGTATAAAAATAGTGTTGATGACGCCATGACTTTGTTAGCTAGTTGAGAGTAAGAAGACCACAGACGCCAGCCCGCAGGCCTTGAACGGTAGACGGTGCGAAGTGTCACTCAGCCACTCTGTAAAGCTTTTGGTTCACAGGCCACCACTGCGGTACAATTGAAATCTGTAATAGATGGAGTACCAATCCAACTGTTGCTACAACACGGAACAGCAGTTCCTCCTTATAAGGTGACTGGTATGAGCCGCAGACTAACTGTTGTGAGGCCGTGTGTGTGGAGACCACCTCTCCTTCCCGTGTGGCTCGTAACGCTGAGGCCTGCCCGCCGGACGTCCCATTCTTTTCAGCACGATTTTACCACGTGAAATCTTTTCTTTTTTTCCTACGTCTTTGACAGCACTGGGGGTAGCATAATAAACCCAAATGCTAAATGCAGGTATCCAGGTCTGCATAGCGGTACCCTTGCAGGCCAGTTAATTTTATATTATTTTAGGTTCGCACTTCCATGAAAACTTTCAAGTTCTCAGAAAACCTAACCCCTCGGAATACGTCTGGTCTTCCTGCATGCTCCTTCTCACCCACCTGCGCGGAGACACACTCCTGGCACCTCTGCCCTGGGCTCCCCGGTTTGTCGTGTCTCGGTTTCTGCCCCGCCACCGGGGCGGCCCTCAGGAGGGGTGGGGGGCGGGGGCTGGCAGAGG